GCTCCCCCCCCCTCCCCTCCCCCCCCCGTCCCACCCACGGCAAAGACATCGGGGGCTACTGCCCTGGCTGCCCTCCCACTCCTCCACGGGGTCCTCCGATGGGCCCTAGCATCACCTAGCAAATGATGGTGCAGCCCCCTAGTCACCCCAAACCAGCCCACCCCTCTCGGGCCTTCCCATGATACCCCTGCTGCGGTGCCCATGACTCCTGCTGGAACCAGCCCAGGGGCCGCCCCTGGCCTGCCTGACAATGGGTGTGGAAACCCCCTGCCAGGCTTGGAGCCCTGAGGCAGGGTGGCCCCTCACCCCCGCATCAGCCCAGCCCCAGCCCCCAGGGCTCTAAGGAGGTGGTCACCAAAGGGACACCTGGAGGTCTAGTCAGGAAGTGGAACCTGGGTCCACAGAGGCCACAGCTGGGTCTGGGGAGACACGAGGGGAAGTCTGCAGGCCCAGGTCCCCGCCAGGTGCTCGGGCATCAGGGCACCAGGTTTGCCAACACCTCCCCAGACCCGCCCCCTAAGGGCCACGACGACCTGCTGCTCTGGGCGCTCTGGTCCCCTCTTTTCATCTCCAAAGGAAATGCACCCGCCCCCACAATGGCATCTCTGTTTGAGGACCTGGGACCTTAGAGGACCCAGAGGCTCCTGATGCCCCAAATTCTGAGCTGGGAGATGTAGTGTCCAGTATGTAGACCGCAGAGCGTCAAGGTTCAAGAAGCTATTTAACTGGCCTAAGGCACACAGCAGAGGGAGGAGCCGTCACTCCCACTTGGAATCTAGGACCAGCCACAGGGCTGTCCACCCGTCCCCGCCTTTCCTGCAGGGCTGTGCGCCCACCCACACACTTCCCAGGAACAGCGGTCATGTCCTTTTCAGAGCAGGTAGGGAGCTTGGAGACAGACCAAAATCTCTTGAAAACACTGGAGCCCAGAGCAGGGCTTTGTCCCAGGTCACCCTGAGAGTGGGTGGCAGGTGCAGGCCAGAACCAGGCCCCCGGGCAAGACCTACCTGCTACCCAGGCCCCTCCATACCCTCCCTCCTGTGGCCCACCACCCTGGGCTCCTCCACCACCACCCAAAGCTTCTCTGTCCCTCAGGCATGCTCCCTTCAGGGACACTGGGGGCAGGGTGGGCAGCTGGTGCCCCAGCCAGGCTGGTCACTCATCGGGCAGACCTTCAGCCCTCTGCTCCTGGCAGGACATCGTGGTCCTCCAGCCCACGCCGGCACGGGTTGAATTTCACGGCCCAACAGAATTCCTGGGCAGTGCGGCCTGGCTGTTCTCCCCGGTCCCAAGGCTCCTCCGGGCACAGACCCAGCTTTTCAGCCAGGGTCCCTCTACCCTCAAAGATCGTGTGTCTGCTAGCAAGTCTCAGAACCTCTGCAGAGACCAGCTCTACTGTCTGGGCAACAGGGCTTGCCCACAGGGTGATGCAGTCACCCCACCACCCATGGACACCACCTAACACCCACTGTGGGCTGGGCCAGGGGACCCACACCCAGGGCCCATGAGGTCAGGTCTGGGGGAAAAACACATCTAACCCGCGTGAGGAGGGGGTGGAGCTGGGGCCAGGAGCCCCCAGGGCTGGCTGCCTATCCCTGGGGAAATAGCAAAGAGGGTGACAGGGACGAGGCCAGGTGGGGGTTGACAAGTGCTAACTGGGCCGATGGCTGCTCTCAGCAGCTCTCAGGGCCTGCTCTCCGGCCCCACGCCTTTGCACATGCTGCCAGTCCGCACCCCCTGGGCCTGCCCAGCTCCTTCTGCTCAGCTCAGCTGTCACCTCTCTGTGATACCTTCCCAAAGGCTCGAGATCAAGATGGGACGCTGGCCCTCACCTTCCTCAGGGGCTCGACAGTTAACCGAGGTCACGGCTTGGCTCCCGGGACCCACATAACCCTCAAACCCGCTCTGCGCAGGGAGGCGGGGCACTGAGCCGGAACACCTGCAGCTTGGGGCCCCCGCCTGACCACCCTGGCCCAGAGTGCCACGCATGCGACAGACGAGGCAGAGATTCTGCTGTACAGAGGTCAATATATGTAAAGTGCTGGATACAACGCTCTGAAAAATAGTATTCTCCAAAAATCCAGTGCGCAGGGTGCCCGTGGACTAGCCTTTGCCGGTGAGGTCCAGTGGCTGCAGGAAGGGCGGCAGCGGCAGCTCGTCCAGGGCCTCGGGGAACCGGCTGGGCGAGATGGCGGTGACCAGCACCTGCATGGCGCGCGCAAAGAGTGAGGGCGGCGCCAGGCCCG